AACAATTGACAAAAGGTAGTAGCCAAACTTATAAATAATACTTTATTATTTAATCACCAAAAGTCAATTACATTTACTTTGTTACAAGTTTCAAAAACTAATCTAACTACTAAAACTAATATCATCTTTCAGTCCTATGCTCCGAGCATGCTGAATATGCTTAGCCATACTCAGACCCTTTGTGAGAGGATCTGCTGGGTTATCTTCAGATGACACCCTCTTTACTATAAGATGGCCTTCTTCTACTCTATGTCTGATGAAATGGTACTTTCTGTCGATATGTCTGGTCTTACCATGATCTCTTGGTTCCTTTGTCAAGGCAACCGCTCCTTCATTATCGCAGAACAGTTCCATAGGCTCCTGGATGGTTGGAACAACTCCGAGATCCCCGATGAAGTTCCTCAACCAAGCTGCTTCTTTCGACGCTTCACTTGCTGCTATGTACTCTGATTCACAAGTAGAATCAGCCACCGTATTTTGCTTGGAACTCTTCCAAGTAACTGCTCCTCCATTCAGTAAAAACACCCAGCCTGACTGAGAACGGAAGTTATCTCTATCCGTCTGAAAGCTGGCATCACTGTAACCATCTACTCTCAAAGTATCACTGCCACCAAGCACAAGAACCCAGTCCTTTGTCCTTCGCAAATACTTGAGTATATTCTTAACTGCTATCCAATGAGCTCTACCTGGGTTTCCCTGATAGCGACTGACCATGCTCAAAGCAAATGCCACATCAGGGCGAGTACATGTCATAGCGTACATGATCGATCCGACAGCGGAAGCATAAGGTACATGACTCATGTCATCTATTTCAACATCTGTACTCGGGCATTGAGTCTTACTCAATTTGGTATTGCTCTGGATAGGTAGCTCTCCCTTCTTGGAATTTTCCATACTAAACCTCTTTAGTACCTTATCCAAGTATGTGCTCTGACTAAGTCCAATTAGTCTCTTCTTTCTATCTCTCAATATTCTAATCCCAAGAATATAGGCAGCTTCTCCAAGGTCTTTCATGGCAAAACACTTTCCAAGCCAAGACTTAACTTCTTTCAAGGTTGGAACGTCGTTACCAATGAGTAATATGTCATCGACATACAACACCAGAAAAGTTACTATACTCCCACTAGCCTTGATATACACACAGAACTCATCTTCACTTCTAGAGAAACCAAACTCTTTGACTTTCTCATGGAAGCAAAGATTCCAACTGCGAGATGCTTGTTTCAATCCATAAATGGATTTCTCAAGCTTGCACACTCTATTGGGGAACTTTGCATCAACAAAACCCTCTCGCTGACTCATGTAAACATCTTCAGCCAACTTCCCATTAAGGAAAGCAGTTTTGACATCCATCTGCCAGATTTCATAATCATGAAAGGCAGCTATGGCGAGCAATATCCTAATAGATTTAATCTTAGCTACTGGTGAGAAGGTCTCATCATAGTCAACCCCTGGGGTTTGAGTGAAACCTTTTGCAACCAGTCGAGCCTTGAATGTGTGCACATTTCCATCCATGTCTGTCTTCTTCTTGAAGATCCATTTGCACCCAACTGTCTTACGACCTGGTGCACTATCAACCAAATTCCAAACTTGGTTGTCATACATGGACTTAATCTCGCTGTCCATTGCCTCTTTCCACTTGGAAGCCTCTGGGCCTGCCATTGCTTCCTTATAAGTGACTGGTTCATCTAAGTTTACCAGTGTTCTGTCACTTATGAATGTGTCACCATCTGAAGTAATATGAAAACCATACAACTCAGGTGGCACACTCACCCTAGTGGATCTTCTAAGAGGTAATGAGTTATCGATTGGTTCAACAGGAACTGTTTCCTCTGGTTGAGTGCTAGTGTCATCTAAGGTTCCTTCATTGGCTGACTCTTGAATTTTCTTCAAGGTCAATAGTGCTCCCACTGTCCTCTTTGAATATGAGCTCTCTTTCAAGAAAGACTCCTCTTCGTGCTACAAAGACCACGTTCTCACTAGGCCTGTAGAACAAATATCCAAAAGACTGCTTTGGGTAACCAATGAAAACACATTTCTCACTTCTAGCTGCTAGCTTGTCGTGAGTCTCTCGTCTTACGAAAGCTTCACAACCCCAGACTTTAATATGTGCTAACGAGGGAACTTTCCCTGTCCACATTTCGTGAGGTGTTTTGGCAACCTTCTTTGTAGGGACAAGATTGAGGATGTGGGCGGCTGTCTCTAAGGCATACCCCCAGAAGTGAATGGGAAGCGAAGCCCGACTCATCATAGAACGAACCATGTCTAATAAGGTTCGATTACGCCTCTCAGCTACACCATTTAACTGTGGTGTCCTAGGAGGAGTCAATTGTGAGACTATCCCACATTCTTTCAGATAGTCGTTAAACTCGATACTAAGATACTCCCCGCCTCTATCGGATCTAAGTATCTTTATCTTTCTGCCCAATTGATTTTCGACTTCATGCTTAAACTCTTTGAACTTTTCAAAAGTTTCTGACTTATGCTTGATCAAGTAGATATATCCATATCTGCTATAATCGTCAGTGAAAGTCACATAGAATCGATTAGCATCTCTTTGTAGTTGATCTGAATGGCCCACACACATCTGTGTGTATGAGATCCAACAGACCTTCACCTCTTTCACAAGACCCTGTGAATGGTGATTTTGTCATCTTTCCCAAAAGACAAGATTCACACATATCATTTGATTTTAGGTCAAATGATTCCAACACTCCATCCTTTTGGAGTTGGGCTATGCGTTTCTTGTTAATGTGTCCAAGACGACAATGCCACAAGCATGCCTTGTCTACACTATTAGACAAGTCAATATTAAGTACACTATTTCCTAGGCTATCAACACAAGTCACTGTTTCATACACACCATTACAAGGCAAAGCTTCAAACATAAAAACACCATTCTTATAAACAGAAATTGAACCATTTAAATCATTAAAAGAATATGTAAAACCTTGTCTGAACAATGCATGAAATGAAATAATGTTTCTCGTCATCTCAGACGAATAGCAACAATTTATTAAATCTAATCTAACATCATTACTAAGCAGAAGCTGATAAACTCCGATCTTGGTTACTGGTGAAGACTTTCTGTTCCCATGATCAGGTTTATCCTTCCTCGCTCTATCTCCTCACTTTCCTTTAGACCCTGCAAATCAGAACAGATATGAAAACCACATCCTGTATCAAGGACCCATGAACGAGAAGATAATGAGTTATTAGCAGAAATAGTGTAAATACCTGCCGAAGATGGCTTCACTTTGCCATCCTTGATATCTTGCAGATATTGTGGGCAAGATCTCTTCCAATGCCCCTTTTGGTTGCAGTAAAGCAAACTGCCTCTTTTGGATCAGAAACATGGGGAGTGGAACCATTGGGCTTAGCCTTTGGGCCATTACTAGATGACCCAGCTTGAGCCTTGCTCTTCCAGTTTTGTTGGAGGACCTTTCCTCTTTTTCCCCTTTCCCTGTCCAATAGCCAAAACAGGGGCACTCGTAGGTGTGGAGGGTATACTTTTACCCTTCATCCCTGCCTCAGCTGTCTGCAACAAGTTGTGCAATTGGGCCAAGGTCTGCTCTGTATTGTTCAAATGGTAAGTTAGAATAAACTGACCATAACATTCAGGAAGTGAGTTCAAAACCATGTCAATGGCCAATTCCTCATCAAAGTGAATATTGAGCTTGACCAAACGCTCTATGTAGCGTTGCATTCTTTGCACATGTGACACAACTGACTCCCCATCTTTCATCTTGCAAGCCATGAGTGACTTGACTACTTCGAACTTTTCTTGACGAGCTCGCTTATGGTACTTTTCCATAAGGTCCTTGTTCATCTCGAAAGGCCAGTAGTCCTCATAGTACCTCTGCAGTTCTGGGGACATAGTTGCCACCATGATGCATGCCACTTTGGTAGCATCATCGTAATGTTTCTTGTAGGCAGCAAGATCTTCAGGAGTAGCTTCATTCTCATCAAGCTCTTTGAGCTCCTTTTCAAGAACATATTCTTGTTCTCGAAACGAAGAGCCATCTTGATGTTGCGCATCCAATCGTTATAGTTTGAGCCATCCATAACGACTTTGGAGCATATATTGAGCAAAGAGAAGTTTTGGTTGGAGGAGGACGAAGCAGAAGTGTTTCCAGGAGTAGACATCTGAAAAAAGAAAGTTTTAGTTAGATTTCAAGATACCTTAATAGAATAACCCAAAGATATAATATCAAGGTTAGGATCCAACTATGAAGATTCACAACTTAGAAATGGGATGCCGAGATCCAAGTGCAAATTTCATAAAGGTAGGTGAATGACGATTCACCAATTCCACCATTAGACGAAACAAACGAAGTGAAATTCCTAATTCTTTTGAGATACATTGAAACTATTCAATGGCATGTTTTATTCTCAGATTATGCTCTTCTATTTGTGACTGGGATGCCGAGGATCACAAACAAGATGTGAATAACCATGCAAATGTGCTTGGTAACCTCATTGTCTTTATCATTAACTATTGATGTGCTGGTAAACCACACACGCTCCATCAAATGACAATTATGAGATACCCATTACTACTCTTTATTAGTGCCTTTTAGTGTGCTGGTTAACCACACACGCTCCACTAACGACCAATAAAGCATAATGTGCAATTTCATGGATTAGCATACTTTCACATTTTTCCTAAAGTAACTAGAGTTGGGATTTTGAAAATAATGTTCTAGTACTTTCTTTAATATCATTATACTTTTAATGAGAAGTAGTTGTCCTATCAAATCCGTTCTGCTAACGACCCTCCACTAATCAAGGAAGCGGTGGGTGAGAGTGGACACCCATTCAACTACCATTTTATAGGCAGTTTCCTTATACCCCCCTTATAGATTAGCTTCGTGAATGAGGCATACTAGCGATTTGACTGACCATATTCTTATACATATAATATTAAACCTTTAATTAAATATATATAAGGTGTGTTTTAAAACTTTTAAAACTTCAAGGGTTTATATAAATTTCGAAATTTAAGCTGTTAAATTCAAATTTAAATAAACCAATTAACTAGATTTAATATTTATCTATTAATTAACTATTAATCAAATTATTAAATCTTGTAAGGATTATCTAATTAAATTAATCAATTAATTTAATCCTAATCCTTATCCCTCTAATTTCGAAAAATAGGGTAAGGATAATTATCCAATTAATCTAATTAAGTAACAATTATCCAAAAACAAGAAACCCTAGTTATCCTCTTAGCATATTTCGAAATTCATAAGGGAGGAGGCTAGGGTTTTCAAAACCCTAACCCTAATTTCGATTAGGTTCTTTGGAGGCTAGGGTTTTCGAAAAAACCCTTTGATCCAAAACCCTAAAAATCGAAAAATTGGCCTTTAGGGTTTAATAACTATAAACCCTAATTTGCAATTCAACAATTGTAGCAGTTCAATTTAAAACAACAATGGCTCTGATACCACTGATGGATTTTAGGTACAACAAATAAACTAGAAAACAATTCCTAAGTTCACATGCAACCTACTTTGGATCTATGTTTTAACTATTGAACATACAACTTTGAATTGCAAAACAAGAACCCTAGAGGAGAGAGGCTAATTTCGAAATTAACAAACTAGGGTTTAGGGTTTACATACCTTTCAATTGATATAGCAAACAATTGATATTCCCTTGATCTTGATCTTGATCTTCTTGGAAGCTTTAGCACCACAAGTGTAATGCCTCTAATGGAATCACACCCAAACTAGCAAGAAGGGAAGTAGAAGAGAGAGGGGAGAGGGAGTATGCAAAATCTCGGCCTTAGGGTTTCTTCAAAAGAAAGAGTGACCAAAAACATGAACCAGGAGGCTCCTTATATAGCTGAGGGATCTAGGGTTTAAGGGAAACCCTAGTTATCCTTTGCTTAGGGCCTAAGCAAACCCAAGGGCCTTATCCAAGCCCCTATGGACGAAATTATTAGGGTTTCCCCTAAAGATTTCGTCCACCCTCTTCCAAGGGGGTTCTAGAGCCTTCCACTCAACTATTAGATAATTGCAAACTAGTCCCTGCACCTTATAATTAATTCTTTTAACCCCAAAATCAATTCTGATTAATTTCTGGCTAACAATTAATTAAACATAATGATTTCTAATTAATATATTAATCCACTAACATATTAATAAATCATTTATATATATATATATATATATATATATTAATTTATTAATCTTATAAATTAATATCTCTCTTTTCATAATTTCCTTGTCCAGTTGCTAGGTTGAGGGCAACCCAAAAGGACTGTGCTGCTATCAATTCAAGTACATACCAATTATAGTTATGGGCTTAGACACCTAATCCAACAATTTCTTCCATTGCAAGTTCAAATTTTGGAATTGTAGTTGCCTTTACAGCCCTTCAAAAAGGTTTAATGTAGCACTCACCCTTCAACTTTTTATGGAAGTTAGCAAGGATGTGGCCTAACACACAACCTATGCTCAACTTCTGGAATTTCTTCACGCCTCCATTATACCCTGCATTGATTTGGAATGTTAGTTTATGTAAAAAGTAATTTTTGTAAAAGAAAAGTAGTGTATATATGTACCTTGTGTCCATCTGACATCAATGTGATTCCATTACCATTTCCCCCTTCATCTATGTCTTCCATTAGATTGTCTAAGAACCACTTCCAGTAGTCTTGTTTCATTCTTTTCTCTACTATTTACTACTGCCCAGGCTATTGGGTATATGTTATTGTTTCCATCCCTGCCTACTGTTGAGAGGAGCTCCCCTTTACAGATGCCCTTCAGAAAACATCCATCTATCCCAATTACCTTCCTACACCCATCTAACCAGCCATCAACCACTCCTTTAAAACTCACATAAAACCTTTCAAACACCACAGTAGAATTATTTTGGGGCTGCACATACACTTCTACATGAGATCCTGGGGGCCTTTTAATTTCAGCTCCATAATCCACAGCTTGGAATAATGATCCTTCAAATCACCCTCAATTTCACACAATGCAAATCTTTTTGCATTCCTACATTGTCCAACACTAACATTTATGTTGAATAACTTGGATACCATAGCTTTCATCTTCCTCAGACTCATTTTAGGGGACTCCAAAATATCAGCAACAAATTGTTTCCCTATCCACTTGTAGGTAACAATTGACCCAAGTTTGAATGCCCTTGAACAACTATGGTCTTCTGTAAGGGACTTTATTTGAAATGTTTGATCATCTTTCATCCTGGAAGCCCACAATCGAAAAGGGCATTGTGGTCTTTTTCCTTTACAACACTTTACAAGCAACCTATCCTTGTCATTCTTCTCATAATATAAGTCATATCCATTTGCAACTGCATAGTTACTAAGAGATGACTGAAGTTCAGAAGGAGATGAGAATCTCATACCTAGTTTAGGCTTCATCTTCCTCCATTCCTGAGTAGCATCATGCCTAGAGTAGACAGCTGGAAGTTCATTGCCTTTTTCATCTTCATCTTCAACAACTACTGGACATAACTTGTTCAAAAACTTATCATTATAGGTTCTTTTGAAGATTCTTTTGCTTGATGTAACTGATTCATCCTCTTCATGTTCACAGTTCCCATCATCTGCCAAAACAGAGTCGACATCTTCTTCTGAATACACAAGATCTTCATCGTCTGGTTCTTCTTTCTGAATCCACTCAAATATAGGTTCATTATCATGGTCAATATACACATCCACATGTCTTTTATCATTTGCAACCTCAAGAAACTTAGAGTAGTCACATTCATTTTGTAGTGTTTGGAGCCCCTCACTCAATCTCACTTCAGGTATACAGTAATACAATGTTTGCACACACATGTTTGCACTGAAAATCGATAAGCTTCTCAACATATTTGATGAAATCGGAGAAACCAAACTCGTTTGCATCTTCATTCAGACGTAGTACTTGTGGAGCAAAATACCCTAACGGATTAGGCACAAAAGTACCATTATAGTGTACATCGACTTTTGGAAAAGCTTGTTTTTCCTCCATTGAATCAGAATGGTGTTTTGAGAGAAGAGAAGTGTGAGTAATGTGGAACCGATCAAGAACGAATTATGAGAATAAAGACAATATAACCCTAATTGATCTTCGTTAGTAAATGAGGTTTCTTGATAAATGAGGGTGGAAGAGGGTAACTGCCACGTAATTGCCACGTAAACCAGTAAAACAAAAAATGACCGGCTTAACCGGAAGCAACCGGTAATAATGACTTAATTTATACACAACAACAAGTTCGAGGGTACAATGTGGACAAAAAAAAGTCAGGGACTAAATGTGTACAAAACCAATAATATGTTACCCTTTTAAGTCATTGTCCCCTTAAAAAATGCAACTTCAAAATGCTCTCAAACCTAATTCCAACGCTAAACTCTCAAGCCCAATCACAAACATAGATTTGGGTTCAAAGTTCATATTTGGTATTGATCCAAGTTCATCGTTTTGTATAATTTTACTTTAAACGTAATGATTTTTTGTTGTAATATAATGTGGAAAATTGAAGGGAACACAAGCGAAAATGTCATTTTCCACTGAGAAATAATATTTTCGCGGGGAACACCTAGGAAATGTCAAAGAGATGCTAAAAATGTAGAAATTACCATTAGAATATTTAACAAATAGTAACAAGCTTTCAGTTTTTTGTATTTTTATAGCAACTTACATTCTGATTTTTCACTTGTTATAGCAATTGTATTTTTTTGTTTTTCACTTTTTACAACATCGTTTTTATTTCTATTCATTTTGGACCATTATGATTAACTAACACTAACCATTAACCAAACCATTATCCAAGTAAATCTACTAACCAAAATCAATATTAAGTAATACCCAACAGCTATTTAAATGCATTAATTGATTGTAATTGTTATGGTTCGGTTTTGGATATTCGAACCAAACCGTCTCGTACACACCCTAATTTTCACAACGGACTTATTAACCTGTAGTTACTTTTTTTTTTTTTTTTTTTAGATTTTAAACACTTGAATGTACAGACGTCCATATGCCATTGTTGGAAACTCAGTAAAATATGAAGCAAAAAAGCCCATATGACCCTGATCATTGATGGTCATGGAAATAGTTAGATATGACTAGAAAGATTGAAAATATTTATGTATTGGGTTCAAGCCACAGGTAAAAAGAAAAAAAATAATATTAATAAATAAAAATGATAATGAAAAATTAAATATTTATAAGATTTTATTAAAGAAAATGAAATAAAGGAACGTACTCTTATGACACCCAAAAAATTATAATTTATCGTTCTTTTATTTAATAAAATAATAATATTAACTATTTTTTCACAAATATGACAGATTTAAAAATTCAAAAGTATACCGAGGGCATTTGTATAACATATGATAAGAAAGATAAAGATAAATTTCTTAATTTCTTAAAAAACTTTTGAAAATGTTAACGATAAAGATAGTTTGTAACAATAGTTTTTTAAAAAATAAAAATTATTATAAAACTGATTTGAAAAGTAATAACCTTTTGAAAGATTAATCATTTGAGATGTTCTAACGACACATGAACATTAAGCATATGAACATTAACCGTCTTAATAACTATTACCAAAAAAGATATTTGTTGCGGTTATACGACACTTTCTTAGTTTCTTTACCTTTTTATCTTTTACCTTTTTGAGATCGGAAGTTCGATTCTTTTCTTTCTGTTTTTTATTTTATTTTAATTTTTCTATAAGTTTTTATATATTTTTTACAACTTTAATTTTTTATGAAATTATTTGTATAAATTATATTTTTTATTAAATTACTTTTTCCAATAAATTTTTTAGATGCTTGTTTTTATGCATGTTTTTTTTATTAATTTTCATTTATAGATTTTTTTTTTAAATTACCTTTTTTTACATATTCATTTTCATAAATGTATTTTTGTTTTTTTATAAACATAAAATGCATTTTTATATACCACTAACTTTATTAAAAAAAACGTGGTTATATCTGATTAAGGGTTTTCAAAACCAAATATCCGAATTTTAAACTGGGTCACATTTAATTCATGTTTAAAATAGGTAACCAAAAAAAAAAAATCAGCTTGACTTCATGTAAAATTGGTTTTTATTTTTTTCAATGAGATCAATTCTTGAAGTTAATAAACAACTTTCAAAAACTAACATTATTGTTTCTTAAAATTTATAAAAATCTTATAGAATCAACACTCCTTATATTGTATACTTAAAACGCATGAAATGACTCAAGTTATTAGTCGTGTTCCATTTGCACTAGACCTAACTTCACAAAATTGGATCAGACAAACTTTCCAACTTTCCAATGTTATTTTTGATGATGAGAATGATAAGGCATCTTTTGTATATAGAACAAATGTCTCAGCCCCGCTATTTTGGGTGGGACAAGAAGTTGCAAATTTTGTCCCATTGACATCAATCAGTCTCAGAGTCACAAATGCAAGCCAAATCCAATACAACAAGTTGCAAATGAACACGGTCAATAGTGACAGTTAGCTATCAAGATGACCACAAAAACCAATGTAACAAAATCATATTTGGAGTTTCACATTATTCAAATCAAAAACCTGCCTACAGCTTTCTCATCAGCAGAAAGGAAACAAATGGCAAAAACAAGAGTTGAGCCATTAGAATTAGAGATGGATCCCACACCTCTAATCAATTTTCTGGCTCTGGTTTCTCAAAGAATGTCTTCCTCACCCAATCAAATGGCTGCAAAAATTCAACACAACACACTTGTTAAAACATATGTTTTTCTCTATGAATATACAAGAGAAATTTTGAGCATTTAAACAAAACAATACCCTCATACTCAAAGAAATCTAGGCTCAAGGAAAACACCCATAAACTAGCCATGAAAGGGGGAGCTATTGGGTTATGAATCAAGATCTAACCAATGGTTCCTTTCAAAAAATTGCAAGAGATGGCAATAAAGGACTGTTTTACAGCTTCAGACTATGATAAATCTTGAAACTTCAGTAGTTTAGAGTTTAAATCTAAGTCGTTCTCACCTTCAACAACCAGAAAAATTATAATTTCAGGCATTATTTTACATTAATGGTCATCTAGGTATAGCCAGGTATAGTTTGACCATAAAGGTCAATGTTCTTCGAAAGATTAATGTCACAGAGCCAAGATCCAGATCTAATCCCTAGCATAACATTGATTCGAGACTCTGATTTACGAGAAAAACAAACAATTGCACAAAGCATAAACGAAATAAATCGATGATATACCATCTCTACGAAAACAGAATTTCATCGAGATTAAAAAAGAGATTAACGAACTGATTGAAAAAGATATAGTACAACGAGATCCTAATTTTATTATATGATAAATTGAGTTAATCAAGCGATCAATAAATCGAAGAAATGAAAATCGAAATATTAGGGGGAGAACGACCTGAACCACCCAAATAGCGCCCGTAAGAGCAACGACGCCCCAACCGGCGGCTGCCTGGATATCGGTGGCTTGAAGGCGTTTGGTTGGCTTGATGAGCTTGGTTAAGTTTGAGGCTCCGGCCATTGTCTTCGATGCTTTTCAACCAAAACCTAGCGAAGGGAATATTGTTTGGTGTTTGGAGTTTTCGTTCTTTTGTAAAAAAGCGATAACCAAAATTCAAGATCCTCCCTCTATAAATACACTCACACCCGTAAATACGAGAAAAGCATTAACCATAAAATTGATATATGATGTTTTTTTAGAGTAAATTGAAGAAATGATCCCTATGGTTGTATGAAAATTGCACTAACACCCATTTTTTTCCTTTCTAATTATTTGATCTTTAAGTATTTGTTTTGTTACGGAGATGTTCCATTTGTTTTGAGATGTTAACTCAACCCACATGCCTCACACACAACGGCAAAATTGTTGTTATTGTTGCTTTTTCATATCTTTTTCATTACTGCCACTCTCACGTGATAAATTAGAGTATGATCATTCTTATGTTAACTTATCCCCCCAAGCTTCAAGTGTTCATCTTCTTCTTCACTTACAACCATCACAAAGATTAGTAGGGATTATCATCTTGATCAAATCAGTAATGCAATAGTTGGTCGAAGCTAAAAAATGGTGTTGACAGGTTGGAAAATACGAGATTAATGGATAGAGGACGAAGTGAATGCTATTATGGTATGTTTGATGTCTTTGACAATGTTTGAACCCATTTTTGTTTTCGTTATTTGTTTATTTGTGAAAGATGTATGATTTGTTAAGTAGCTCATTCGTTTTTGGTAGTCTAATTGTATTCTATTTTGTGTAGCTATCAATGAAATCTTTTTGGCATAGAAACATGTCATCGCGAAGGAAGTGCATGAAGAGTAAAATGACTATGGTTGATTTCTTTGACATTTACATTTTTATTGCTTATTGAAGTAGATGCAATAATGCATGAACTAGGTTATTTAAAAGAAATCCCAATATATTTTCAGTTCACAAAACCAAATGAGGTTTTAGTTTACAAATTTATTTCTCTTGGAAATGATGGAGGTGTATATTTTTTGTGAAATTGGTGGTTAAGCATAAGGTTTTACAAGTTTATATTAAACACGGGATAACAAAAACTGACACTTACTTTACAATCCCTAGTAATGTGATCATTGATGAGATCATTAAAATCACATCTCAAAGAGCTCCTAGTTTGTTTCTAAAAGTTAAATTGTTATCTACCTCTTTATAGGAAGAGCTTATTCTAATGTTCTTATAGAAATACATGTGATGTATTCATTCCCACACTTATTTATGAAAAAGACAAACCCGTCCTCATATTTGTGGAGTACATGAGGTCCTACCACCTTATTAGAAGGTTGTATGGTGTCCAACACGTAATAGACAAACGCCCCGGCCCACTGACACCAACAAGAACCACATTTTTTAAGAAGGTGGAGAAGGATGCTTCGACCAACATCATCAATAACACATGTAGTAACGTTGTCAAAAGCAACATACTTATGATTTTGTGGAGAATATGTTAAATGGGTTATAATGGTGTTTTATATACTCGGAGATATTAAAAAAAATCATTGATTGTTGCTTTCTGCATGTGATAGATTTCCACCGGACCCTCTTCTACTAAATCAATTTCCATCAGACCCTCTCTTAATAGATTATTTTTCGTCAACATCAGATGCATTCGTTGTAGTAGATCTACGTATATGTGGACAATATACACAATACATATGTACACAGTTATGAAGTGTCATTACGAAGAACGATTTACAAATGCTTGACATCACTCTTGTCATTTATCTCTATATCATAACGTTACTCGGGATGTTATGAATGATAAACTTACCTTAAAGCTATCTTTAAAAATTATCTTCATTGACACATTTAACACACGTTTAACAACCCATAAATATATCATATACGAGGGCTAATATAAATTGTAATTTCAAACCTTTGGCATGATATATTGAGTTTCGCCATGAACATCTTCCACGACCCTCCAACACAAAGAACTATGAAAAAAATCATAAGATGAACTTATTTTTATTGAAAAAAAGTTGTTTGAAATATGTTTGGCTACTAGATTAAAACTAAACACTAAATAAAGAAAATTTATGAAATTTCACAATAAGTTTTCGCAATGGGCCCATTTGGTTGTACCACAACCATTTCATATTATGGGCCTTTCGAGGGTACGACCATTCAACGATAAGGTTTTCACAATTTCATAGTATGGCTTCGGAATAGTCCATCTATTTCCCAGTGAGGATACCATGTTTCAGCCAAAACCCCATTCCACAATGGCCATATATCACGATGGACCCACTACAAAATGTGTGGCTATATGGTTGAAAAGTGCTTATATTTTGCTCATTTTTCTTGAAAAAAAAGTATCTAAGAAAACTAGCTATATGTACTATCATTTTCTAAAAAATAAAATTTTAAATATAAAAAATAAAGTGCTTTGCTAATAGGAATAGAATTTATATCACTGGAAAGGTTTGCAAATAGGTCCATCACATCAACCAGGAGCCGCAAAAAAGCTTGACAAATGATGGGAGTGCGAGTGAATGGTTTATCATCTGCCAAACGGCTGTACCAGACGATCCTGTATCAATCCTCACGAACAATTGCATCCAATAGATTGCTTCAGGAGCCAGTTTCTCGAATCAAGACAAAACTTGATTCAGAAATGGTGGGAAAATCAGGCATCGAAAACCTCGACCTTTCATGGGATTCGCTGCTCACCTCTATTCATTCTCCCTCCCCTCACAAAGCTCAGCTCGTAAGAATTCTTTTCCTAACCCTAATCGTCTCGTTGTATTGTCTGAAGTTGTAATTAATTAGAAATTAAGTATGCCTCAGATAGTGAAATTTAAAATCAAATTAGTTGTTGCTAATCCAAAACCTATTATTTACTTAGGCAGGTTCTTGAATGGGGATTACAGAAGTTGCAAAAAGAAAACGAGAAAAACCATGATATTTACTTGGAATTGATCCATCTCTGTGGGAAGATCCAAAACACACAAACAGCAATGCGTGTTTTCACTTTAATGGAGAATCAAGGTCTAAAGCCAACTTCCATCATTCTCAATGCCCTAATTTCTGCTCACTTATCTTCAGGTAATGTCATCACTGCACTTAGCATATTTCAGCTAATGCAAAACTCAGAGGACTATAAACAACCTACTTCTCACACATACAATTTGTTCATTTCGGGATTTGCAAACATGGGAAACAGTAAGGCTATGGTGGCATGGTATGAAGCCAAAATGGCCTTCGGGTTTTCAGCTGATTTAGATACCTATGAGGCTATCATTTTAGGTTGCATAAAGTTAAAAAGATTCGAAGATGCTGATAGATTTTACAGAGACATGTTAGTAGCAGAATTCAAGCCTAACACATCAATACTACATAATATGCTTGTGGGGTTATGTGAACGAAAAGATCTGGTTAAAATCAGAGGGTTTATGCAGAGTATATTGGATCATAAATGGGGGATTAACATGTGTATGGCTGATAAGCTCGTGGGGTTTTATTGTGAGTTAGAATTAGTGAAAGAATTGGAGTGGGTGCTAGAGAAGATCAGGAATACGAATCTCGATTTTGATGTTGTTTCTCAATTTCATAATGGTTTGATTAGGGTTTATGCTAAATTGGATAGATTGGATGATTTGGAGTATTGTATTGGGAGAATGTTGAAAGAAGGAGTGTCTTTTAGGTCACATAAAGATGTGGAAATGGTGGTGTGTTGTTATTTTCGTGGGGATGCTTATGATAGATTAGAGGTGTTTTTGGATTTTATAAAGGATTCACATAAACTTGCAAGATCCACTTATGAGTTGTTGGTTGCTGGTTATCGTAGAGGTGGATTATATGAAAAAGTTGAATTTTTGATTAAAGATTTGGATAATGTTTGTTGATGAAGGAAAAAGTACATTGCTATGATATGTAGAAGCTATTCACATTTAAGCCAAATGTATGTTGCTATATCGTTGAGGTTCATAATCTTTTACTTTCTACCACATAGTTTGTATGAACTATGAACATTGACATTTCTTTAATTCAAGAAAAACGAGAAAGATATTAGAAGAATGAACTATATATATACAATCAACCATACAAAAAAAAAATCAGAAAGTAACATCCATATCATGTCTTCAAACACAAGCCTTAACATACAAAATCAGTCAAGACTACTGAGTCACGAAGGTTGGATAAGAATCAGTAGTGAGTCAACTCGGGAAAGGAAAAAAATTTCATCCATCTCGACTTTTTTGTTCTTTAAAAGAAAAAGTCTTGAACCATTGTTTCCAAGCAGCATCTTGTTGTTGTTCAAGCCATGAAAGGAAACAGCTATCCAACAAGCAGAAAAGATTGACATATAAAAGTTGGTATCTCACGGGTATAAACCGGAAATTGCCCACTTGAACAATGGGCCATATCCCGCCTTCTACAATTAAGGCTGGTAAAAAATCACGTTTCACTTCTTCTTTCACTTGATTTACGTTTTTACCGGATGCAAAACCCATGTAAGTAAAAAATACAAATAAATCAACCGGACCGAATATGATCCCATCTAGGGCTACTTTCATGGCAACAAATCGCATCGATTTTGGTGGGTAATTGAATCTACACTTTAGAAAACGATCTAAGCCTTCGTACCTACAAAAAAAATCTCATAACATCAGTTCAATGCAACCCCCCAAACACAATATAACAACAACAACAAATACCCAATTTCCATAACGGGGCTTGATGTGTTAATAACTTAATCTGGACAATTATGCATGTATGTTTATTTCTAACTTATTCTGGACCGAATGACTTACCGGGTTAAGCTAAAAAAAAACTGGCTTAATGTATTAAGACGTTAACTTCTCTCTCGCTCAAATTGGTGAATATTGTGACATTTGTTTAGTGGAATGTAAGGGTAAATTGGTTGAAAAAGATGCAAAATAAGAAAAAAAACTAACCAGAAGTGACCAATTGGGCCAACAAACGCCATCCCAAAAATGCTTGTGGTAACAACTCGTCTCCAATTGATATGTATATTATCTTCATCCTGTTGAGTAAAGGATATATTATCATACATGTTAATCAAACGAAAAGTCGTCCAATAAAACCCTCTATGATATTAATTAACAAGGCGAAGATAAATGGTGACAAATATGTGAAAGATAGATAGTTATCGGATGAGATGAAATTTAAAACCATCCAACAAACAAAAGATTATCTTCGCAAATAAAAGAAATAATCGCAAAGAGCAGGAACAAGAAGACGAAGAACAGCAGAAACATAAAGGGAAATAGGGAATTGTTAGAATTGGAGAAGAATGATGGGGGGGGGGGGGGTGGGAAACTTACGGAAAGGAAAAGGTTTTTTTTCTTAACAGCGGTGGCGCGTGTAACAGCCTGAGCGGCGAGATCACCAAGTCCCCAAATTAAACCGGAGCTGATAACCTGTGTTTTCACCGGATGAACAGCTAAACAATTTGTATACCATCGCCAAATCTTCAACATTTCATTAAACTTTCTTGTTGAAGGTGGTGGGATTGGTTGTTTATGTGGTAAATTGAATTGAAATTGCAATAATGTATGAATAATAATAGTATGAGAGAATATTCGATGATAGATACAAGTTTTCTTCAATTGATAAACGAATTATGTTGAGGAGACAGACGGAAACGAGCCTTTCTTCTCGCCATGATAATGTTGATATTGTTTTGGATTGTGTGAATCTATACGGGGTTTGGAATCAGAAATTTGAAACCTCTGCTAATTACGTTGGTTGAGATTCAATTTAGGCAGCCGTGGGATTGTGATTTGATTTGTGCATGAAGCCCATCATTGCCCTTTTTCTTTTATGATAACCCGACCCGAAATTACAATCACATTATGTAATCATATAAAACGTTTACTTTACAAAGTCATCTCTTACCTAGAATTTAGTATTCGAGTTATATAATTAATATCAAATTCTTTGTCGGAGCATTCTTTAATAATATTGTACGTTCTGATTACTTTAAAAAAAATTTAAGACTATACGAAGTGGCTGTGTAATGCCCTCCGTAAGATGAGATGACATAGGTTGACTTACGTTTCGTTACAAGGGAGAGAGAAAGAGGCAACAGTCTTTTTTTTTTTATCATTGGCAAATGAAAGAAAAATAAAAAACTTTTTCTTAAACTATCTAATATTTACCTATAAATGCATCTTATTTCATACACATTTTTACATAACATTCACCAATTCTTTCTCTTTAAACACACTATTTCTCATTCACCAAAAATCCAAAAATAAATCAAAATCCAAACACACCGAACACTTCACACACCCACTTCACCCACCGCCACATACATACTCAACACAACACCTTGCAAATACTTATATTTCGAATCACCAATCAAAGGGTTCATTAACATGCTAGTTCCAATAACCTCATTTATTCCACAACCACCCATTTTCCAACAAAACTATTTCCAACAACCAGACCAATACCAAATACCACATTAATTCCAACAATTTCAACACTCTCAAACCTAATCTTCCCACCAACCACATTCCCAACTCCAATCTCCCTATGATGATGACATCAAAAAGGTGTTGGAAACTCAACCACCAAAATCTTCAAGAAGAAAAATAAAGAAAATGGCAAAACTCCAATCTCCCTGTGATGATGACATCAAAAGGATGTTGGAAACTCAACAATTTCAACACGCTTTCAAAATCTTGGATTTCAATATCTTTATATGGGAAGACAGGTAACGTCCAAACCAGGACAACATTTGGAACTGTGTTCTAGCACACTTCCACTCGCAAATGGGAAATGGTGAATACCAGAGTTACAATGGTGTAACGACAAATACCGCAAGCTAATTGCTACTTGCACAAGTTTTAATGAAATCTTCCCCAACCTCACAAACATGCGACGAAATGGGTGTAATGAATTCAACCTTTTAAGCACCGCTCTTCGGCAATACAAAACCACCCATGTTAGTAGACCTTTTAGCCATAAAAAACGTAGTGTATTATGCGATATGATCTAAAGTGGGTACTTGATTCGAGCTCGCTTAGTTAATTGCAATCCATTGGCTCCAACAAACGACGAAGAACTTTGGAGTTGGACGTATGTTTTGGATTTGACCTCAATGATGATGGTGACGAGGAGTCGCAAGAAGTCACCATTCGACACCCAATGGAAGGGACAAAGCTAAAAGGGGAACATCATCAACAACAAGGGACAAAGGAAAAACTGTCACCGAAACAAATGTCATGCAAGTGCTTTCACAAAAACTTGACAATCATCTTATCTATCTTAAAATAATAATAATAATAATAATAAGAGTTGGAAAATTCAACTCGAAAAGAAAAACAAATGCTTAACGACTTTAAATTTATAAACATCTCTCCCCATCCAGATCTTCCACCTGATCAACTCAGTCTTTTTAAAAAGTTTCAACGCAAAATGAAAGATAAATATAAGGATTATATTTTTTAGGTTATAATGTAATTTTTAATTTTTAGTGTAACGTTTTTTTAAGTTTTTTTAAAGATTTTTAATGTAATTTTTTATTATCAATTTTAGTAATATAGTTTTTATTTGGTTTAATGAAAATTTTATTTTGTTTCGAAAAAGGTTGTATTTTTATTAATATTGTTTATTTAAAATAAAAAAAAATGTATATAGATGATATGAAGGATGAGTATTTCCAATGGTTAGTAAGAATATAATAAAGATGTAGTGAAATTGATGTGATATATTTTCTAAGTAAGGAATTAGGTTAGAGAATAATATCACTCCTAGCACCTTGTTACATCACTTTTTTTTAAGTGTCACGTTATTTTTTGTCTGCCACTTCACACTAACACCTAATTCTTAGCATTTTATAAGGAGTGGTAACACTCCTAGCACTCATTTTTTTTTCAAATTTAATTAAGTTATATTTTTCAATACACAAACATTTAATATTAAATAAATTCTATTGTTTTAAAGACAAACACTTAATATTTTATGTGCGGGAAATGTGGAGAGTATAGTTTAATTTATAGTGGTTGATAAAAATTTGAAATTTTAATTTTTGTTGGGGTAAAATTCGGATGTTTTTAACAAAGAAAAGGAGAGATTTTCTTCTTTTTTGAATTTGGTCAAATGTGAAGTAATGAATCCAATCAATGGTCAATCCACCAATCACAACAAAGTCAGCTCTCTCTTTCTCGCTCCTCTCGTTAAGCCTCTAACGTGTTGACCATAGCGAACCCCCTAGCGAGAGCCAAGGGGAGGTGTTCAGCGAGCCTAACAACCCCTTAGTGAGCTCCGTAGCACCTCCACTCCGCCTAGCCTTAGTGGATCACTCCTTAGGTTACCCGGTATGGCCAATTTCACGCATAGAAGTTGACGTGGAGGGGAGTTTCCACCGGTGAACACTGCCCCAAATTCTAGTGGTTGTCTTGTGGAGTGACGGTTTCCACTAGCCTTTACGGAATCCCTCTCTCTTCTTCACCAACAACCACAATTTCCACACCCTTGTGAAATGGTTGTGGAATGGTGAAATGATGATGGCTTGCTTTTCACCCGTGAGGATACCGGGTGGCCTTATATCCTAAGAATCAGGTTTGAGTAATCATACTATTTTTCTTAGTACTATGCATGCCACTCTAAAGTAAAAACATGTGATATTCGAACTAGACAATTTTTTTTTGAAGTTTAAACTGCGCAACTGATAACTGAAAATCCTAAATAAATTTAACTCCATAACAATTCATGAACGACATCCAATCAAAAATCACCTACAACAGCAAAAATATAATATACTAAATTACATGCAAACATGATAGATCTCTAAAAGGATTTCTCTCTAAGGCAATCCACTCTAATCCTTGCTACCTGAGACAATCGAGAGAAAAAAAAAACGTTTTCCTGGAAGCCTAGCTGTATGTTTTGTTATACACAATTATCAAGATATAAATATCACTAAAAGAAACCGTGTAAAAAACCACTGTCCTCGGAGGGAGGGACAGTGCTGTTAATTGGTGTGGATCCTCATTGATTTTGGTGTGGATCCCATTGATGGTAGCATGAGCAACTTAAAGGGCACCTATATACAGATCTTCTTTAAGATAACCTTTTTATTTTTTTTGAGATACAGATGGATGATAAGTCAGTCGTTGGCTTGTGTAACCAAAATCCAAAATATGGGATGCTATGAAATCTATGCATTGAAACAGCAGCAAGTGATGGTTTAATATGTAACAGAGTTAGTAACGATTAACAAAACAGAAGCAATGGTTGAAATGGAATGTTATGAATGCATAATCATTTTTTATTATCATGGTCCACAGATTGAGAAGGAACTCTGCTGAGAAGCCACACCAAAGTCGCACCCACAAGAGCACCAGAAAGATGAGCAATATGATTAACATTCTGCATAGCACTATTACTGCTTGCAAAACTTGTTGAAGCTTGAGCTGCTTCCATCACCTGTCAATACCATCACTTAATCCATTAAGCTATATATGCGTGTTACTTTTTTACTTGATACATTAAAATAGCTTATAAGCTACCTTTTTAAAAAGCTAGTAGGGCTTTTCCACTAGTTTTCAAAATGTACCCTTATATGTTAGCTTTTACCATATATCCAAATGTCTTTTTATGTCATTTTACATTTTCCATCTACTTTTTACCAAACGTTATTACTTTATCAGCTAGCTTATCAGGTCCTGCTAAAGCTAGTTTTTCAGCTAATCTGCCAAACACAACCTGAGTCCTAACCTTTTACAAATTTCCCCAATTTACTTTTTCCTTCTGTTTCCCAAAAAATACTTTCACTTTCTTAAAGATTTTTAAGCATTTCCCATTCATACATCACTATATCCAGATATACATACCCTTTCAATAACAAATTGACCGAGTATAAGGACTTCAAGAATCTTCCTCCAGTCAAACGAGAGCTGCAATAAGTAAAAAAAATTAATTATTAATTAATAAAGTGCCTGGATTTCAAAACTTTTGAAGAAAAAAACAACATGTACCTTAACAAGAACACTAATTGCAAAAAGACCAAACACTGCACCAGAGGCACCAACAGAAACCGCATTTCTTGGAAGAATAAGCCAAGAAACAAGATTTGCTCCAGCACCCGTTAAGATATAAGAAAGCCACACTCCAAAATTCCCTTCTTCTTCTTCAACAAGCTTTCCTATTTGACAAAAAGATTCAAACAATAGAACCCTAAAATATACAATAAGGAAACAGTAAATAATTCTATCCCTTACCAAATATATATAAGAAGAAAAGGTTGCTAGAGAGATGATTCCTGTAGTATAAGTGTATAACATATTAAGATACAGAATAAGTAAACTTCTTGGATTAAATTTAAACCACATTAATAGTTTAGGTTTAGGCCTTACCAATCAGCATGACAGAAAGTTGAAGTCACAAACTGGTACCAAACTGGAAAATTGTGGTATAAATACAAAGCTTTAATCTCACGAACCTGGTTCAAAATATAATTTTTTGAGTTAACTCTTTATATTTTGGATGCCATGTATATGTATCAAACAACATTATAATAAGTTGATTCAGTTTGAACCTGAAATATGTGATCTGCTACATAGATTCCAATATTAAGTAGTAAAATCCAGAATATCCCATTCACTTGCTTCTCTGGCTTCCTCTTGTCGCTATATTTTCCGATCTCCAGCTGCGATATCATATCTAAAATTGTAATGAATCAGTTTAACAAGTCTTGTTTCATTCCACAAAAGAGCTACAGCTTAACTATAGGCTTCAATTTTATGATTTTTGACATCAAAATTGGTATGAATTTCGATCTCAGTGGAGATATATTGCTACCTACATTTAAGTTTAGGTGGACAATCTACTTAACAATAGGTGCAGATAAGGTGTTTGATAAAACTCCTCAATAAGACAAAGCTAATCAAACAGAATACTTCGCCTCAATTCTTGGAAAAATTGGGTGTTCATCATCTCACTCTATAACTAAACAATTAAACAGCTGAATTGAAGCTACAAGCATCAATCAGATATATGTAAACCTAAGCAGGACATTTTTAAGCAACAAAGAATTACCGGAGTCTTGCATCTTGCACAGCAGACGAGATCGAGGAATCGGATGAATGAGAAGGGGGCGGTTGAATCTGCTGAAACTTGGAGAAAGAGATTGAGGATTATAACTGAATTTGAAGGGTTGGCGATTAAGTATCATAGGCATTAGTTTACATGATGGTGAAAAAGATAAGGGTTTGGCGAAAAGCTGGTTACGTATAACTATTAACTCCGCCATTGTTGTCAGCTTAGTGCAGCTAAACAACCAACAGAAGAGAAACCCCGCCAATTGTACTTCCACACTTCCCTTTTGGCTCTCAACGCACAAGGTTCGTGTATTTTCGGGCAACGAACACCGTTCTACAGTTATTGACTTGAAAGAAAGGAAGAAAAGAAAAGACTATTCTCTTAAAACAAATTAAGGGAGGAAAAGTGTGAAAATGAGGTTACAGTTAATTGATTTGTTTTATAAAATGGTTAATTTTAAAATTGAGTACAGAAACATTTAAAATGTTAACAAATTAAGTGAATTAAAAAATTATATTAGACACTAATTAAAGTGTTCAAAAAAAATTTAACATAATTTGATAAAGAACTATTTTAAGAGAAAAATACCAACCATCTTAAGTCATGTTTGATAAACATCTTTTCAGACCCATAAAGATCTTTCTAGCTGAATGAGCCTATAAGATATTTGATTTGCACAAAAAAATTCATCTTTTCCGGTAACATGGGTCTTTCCCACAAAGCCACAAGCCCAAGTATGGATGGAAAAGAAACACACATAAGACAATTATGCCCTAACAAAAAAAAAACACCCTGCCCTCGTTTCCATCTGCGCCTCCAACATTGTTCTTTTTTTTTTTAACCGAAGATCAACATCGGCTTTTCCCTTCGCCGAAGATCAACATCTTCTTCATCAGTCTACTTCGTCACCGGCTCCAACCAGGTTCGCCCTTTTCTTTATGATGTTGTTCTTCCGAATCGGTTTCCATCAGGCATCGTTTCTTTTTTTCTTATGATTTCTTTCCAACCTATGAATAATAGTTTGTTACTTCATGGATATATATATATATATATATATATATATATATATATATATATATATATACTAGGTGTGAGACCCATGTATTACATTAGTTTATTTAAAAGAAAAACAAAATACAAAATTCTAAACATTTGAGAAGTTTGAATTTATAAGAAAAGTAAGAAAATATTGAATTATAAAAATTAAAGTGTTTTGTTTTCTCTTTTAAATTTAAACAAATAATTTAGATAAATAAATAAAAATATTAATGAATCTTTAATTTAGTAAATTTAAAATTAGAAGAAAGTTCATTAATGAAATTGATATGCATTTATTATTGAATTTAGAATACTATTTAGAATTTAATAAAATGAAAAAACCATTAAATGACATGTGGAATAAAAATTAATTTAGAATAACCACAAATTACATGTGGCAAAATAAATGAGAATGTGACATGTGGCAAAAATATCTTTATTTATTAGGAGGATATATATATATATATATATATATATATATATATATATATATATATATATATATATATATATATATATATATATATATACTAGGTGTGAGACCCGTGTATTACACGAGTTTATTAAAAATAAAAATTTAATATCAATATATAAACATGAAATATTTTATAAAGTAATACTTTACATAACATAATGTAATCTTTTGGAACATTTGCAAAAGAAATTAAATCGTTTGGAGTATTTATGAGAATTTATTATCAAATTAATAAGATGATTTTATTTCCTTATACAACCTATTACAATTTTATGGAATTTTATTTTAAGAAAATGAAAATCCCTAAAAAATGACAAGTGGAAAATAAAAACTCTAAAATTCTCACAAAATGACAAGTGTCAGAATGAAGGAGAAGATGACACGTGACAAAAAAAACCTTCATTTATTAGAGAAGATATATATATATGGAAAAAGTGAATATGCGACTGTTATGTACCTAAACTTAGGTATAAAATCTTTTAAATGGCGTAGTTTTTACCAAAACAAATATAGTTTCATTTTCTCTTAATTTAGTTTTAATAGAATACCATTGAATTGAGTTAAGTTATGGAATGAAAAAGACCAATTATAAAGTGTTTTTATTGCAAAACATCTTTGAAGGTTATAGGGAAAATAAAAAATCAATACTTTTTAACGAATATAACTCAAAACTTTTGTCCTTCAATTGAAAAAACTATATCAAATGATTTGTGAAAGCTTGATTGAGTTATTGCATTGTATTCTTTTATCTTTTATTCTATTGGTTTTCATTTAAAATTTAGTAGGGCTCATTAAATGGTCATGACTAGGGCTCATTAAATGGTCATGACTTTTAATGTTTAGTTCTCAGACACAATAAAGAAAAAAAAACATAAATTCGATCGGTTTAGTAAGTCACATGGTTAAGGAATAATAGTAAACAAGATATTGATTAGTTTGGATATATATGGATCAAAACTACATAGTTTGGAGGGTTCTATATATAACCTTAGGTACATAACAACCACATATTTCCTAAACCCTATATATATATATATATAATATATATATATATATATATGCTGGTTTTTATGTATATATGATATTTTTTGAACATACATGTTGAATTTATAAACATATATGCTGAATTTTGTGTATATGTTGTTTTTAGTACGAAAATGATGAATAATATATAAATATATATGTTGTTTTTTGAACATACATGTTGAATTTATCAATATACATGCTGAATTTTGTGTATATATGTTGTTTTTTGTACAAACATGATGAATTATATATACATATATATATATATATATATATATGTTGATTTTTGTACATACATGATGAAGTTTATATATGCATGTTGTTTTTTATTCTAGACATGTCATAAATGCGAAGACGGCGGGCTTTATCTAAAGAAGAAATGTTCAATAATGCTCATGCATAACTTAGAAATGTTAATGAGCGTGCTTATGGTGTATTGAATGCGAGATTCCCAATCTTAAAACAAATGGGTCCTTATCATTTTCCAATACAAAGAGACATGGTCATTGCTTGTGTCGCGGTCCATAATGTTATAAGGAGATACAATATCCAAGATGAGTTATTTGCAAATTTTGAAGAGAACGTTATGGTAATCCTGATGTGAAAGGCGGAGGAATTGAGGGCGAAAACACACAAGACATAGAATGGGGTTCAAAAGTCGTTGAATACATGGCTACTTTGCGTGAGCAAATTGCTAATCAACTACTTTCACATGGTTTACTTTAGAGTTGTATGCAAATTAGTATGTTATTTTCAATTTCAGTATGTTTTTAATTGGATTTTAATTGATTTATGTTTAGTTACTTTATATGACAATTTGTATTTGGATTTTTAAATGACTATTGTATAATTTCGATTTTGTATATTTTTATGTTTTTATAATTATTCAACAATTTTATCCATCACAGTATAGAACAGAAGGGTAATACGATCATTTTTCATCATTCAACACAGTCAGTCATATGTACAATCAAACGACATGGTTTTTTTCTCAATCATAAAACTTTCTCAGACAACATTTTCCCAGACAACAACTATCAAACGACCCTTTAATCTTATCTAGTCAAATTATCAAAATAGTGAATTACTACAACAAATGCAAATCATAAAAAACATTGTTTAAATTAAAAACGGAAAAGAATTTCCGCCATATTCAAAATCATAGGTTTTATTTGCGAACACGAGGGAAAAACAAATTTTATTCATGAGTTTGGAACATTAAATATGTTGAAAGACCTTAGACTCTTAACCTTGCCTGATTAAATTTATGTTGTATCATATCAAAACTTTATGTTGTATCGAACTCATGTCGGTTTAAAGTTTGCACCTTGTAAAAAGGGGTGGAATTGGTACGGTACCAATTCGTTTTTCCTTAAACCGTGTACCGTGCCAACTATAACCGGCACAAATTTTTTTCTACCGGTACCTTACCAAATATACTTAGTACCAATATATTTGGCTATCAACAAGTTTGGTTGGTACAAATTGGTAATGATATATCCCGACTTCTTTTAATTTTCTATTGTAACATTTTAAATAAGCAAATACATCCGGTAATTTTGACGTTTAGTGAAGAAATTAGTTACACATTTCTTTTAAATTATAAAAGAATTCTATTGAAATAATGCTAAAATAACGTTTTAATTTTGTGCTTTAACGTGGTAATAACTATTGACTAATGCGGCCAAATAACTTATATAACGTTCTTAATATTATAAACACTAAACACAATTAACGACTGAAATATAAGATTTCGTTTATATATATATATATATATATATATATATATATGAATTGGTTGGTACGATATTACCAGGGTATTCAAATTTTTGTATCATTATCGTACCAAAATTGTTCAATTGATACGGTCCTACCAACCAAACATGTTGGCTACCAACTATATTGGCTACCAACTTTCTTGGTTCGGTTGGTAATATGTTGGTTGGTTTTCCGTGATACAATTTTGACATCCCTACTTGTAAATATGAGATGTTGTGTCGGTTTGAAACACTAAACATGTTGAAATAATAGAAATTGAGGTGGTGGATGAACGGAATTCATAGTAAGTTTAGAGGGAAAATTGAAAGATTAGGAGTTGCAAGGAGGAGGGAATGAGTGAGTGAGACTATAGACTATGGGAGAGAAAGGAAAAAAAGTAAAAAACCAAAATTGAAATATTGATGTATGGGGCTAAGCAAATTCCAAATTACAAAATCGTCCAACCAAAAGTGTTTTTGTTTAATGTGGTTTTGGCTTTGGGTCTTCCCAATTTACTTAAAGAATAATAAAAAAAAAACTTGCATATAAAAAATAGCCATGTTCGAGTTGAAGTCTTAATCTTAACTTTACACCTCTTGTTGTGTAAACCTATTTATTTAAACAAAATAAAGATTTCTTATCAAAATTCATTTATCATAAAAAATTAGCATTAGCATGTTATATCGTCTTTTTGTCTGCTCACAATATTTATGATACAAGGCTCTTTAGGGGATTTGTGTACTGATTCTGCTGGTCATTGTTAAGGTTATGTTTTGGGGTTGAAGATATGCTTTTGGAGGTTTTAGGGGATTTTGATGTAATAGACTTGTTGTGTAATTCTTGTTTATGTAATGGATGTTGATGTACTTTATGTTTATGTAATGGTAAAGTTTATTGCTATTATGTATGGATGTTGATGTAATTAAGTCAGTCAAATGGAGGTAAAACCAAGACAAATTACAGGAAATATTTTTTTATAGACGATTGAATGTAAAGACAAATAAAAGTGGCTGACAAAAGTCATCAAGCCATTTAATAATTACAAAAAATAAGCCCACCAGGAGGAGTAATACAGTAATTTAGTTCAAAATATTCGACAAGTACATCAAAAGTAAACAACTAGTAGGGGTAATATAGAAATTAAGTTCAAAAGATTACCCCACAGTACATCAAAATATATATCACATGCATTACCCCACTACACCAAAACCTAATTACTCTAAGGTCACAGGTTTGTCTTGGCTGCATCTAGTTCCATCCTTGAGTTTAACATTTTTTTGAAGACCAATTTCTGTGATTCTTTCTGAAAACTTTCTCACCCTACCAGCATCATTCAAAGGAACCTTCTTCATAGGACTTCTCTTCACAAGAGCCTTCTTCACATGAGCTTTCTTCATAGGAGTTCTCTTGACAGGAGTTAGAGTTGATTGACTTGGACCTGTTGTGCTTGAAGCTAGAGTTGATTGACTTGGACCTGCTGTGCTTGGAGCTGGAGTTGGCTTACTTGGGCATGCGGCTTTGTTGTGGCCAGTTTGGTGGCAAATGGTACATCTTAGAGGAATGTCTGCCCTTGACACAGTATGCCTTGTGTGCCCACTTAGCTCTCTTTCTGTCTGATCTCTTTTCCTTTTGATACATGGCCTGCCAGGTAACCTCCTCTTTAATGGAGGCAAAATAGTATGAAGTCCTTCAACATGTGGCCACTCAGAACTGTCATTGAGTGGGTGGATGTTATACTCATAGCTACTAAGGAAAGAGGCTTTAGTATAGGAGTTTGATACAAAAGCCTCCACATCTAGGTTCAATGATGAGATTGTTGATTTGACATGTACACATGGAATGCATGTGAGTTGCCAGCTTCTGCATCCACATGCCCTCTGATTCAGATCAACAACATACCTCTCATTTCCTGAGAACACTTCAAATTCTTTGTAGCCACTCACATAAGGTACCCAAAATCTGTCAATATACAAGAAGATAGTCAGTTACCATTATAAACCAAAGTATAACTAATGAAATTGTTACTAACCTTTACAATTCTTTCAAATCCTCTATCTCCCTTCTGATACTTGGGCATATGTCCAAATCCCAACTCAAACCATTTTGCTTCTGCATCCATAACCTCTGCATTGCCCAACATCTTATGTCCTCCAACATTGTTATCAATGGTTTCCTTCTAGCATCAAGTACAGCAGAATTGAAAATTTCAGAAACTCCATTCTCTACTGCATCACAGTCCATACCCTCTCTAAAAAAAGCCTTTGACCAACACCTTGGATCCCTGTCTATGAGATAGTCATAAGCCCTGCTTTCCAAAGACTTAATCTCATTCATTGCTGCTTCAAACTTTGGTACAGTTGTTGCATTCACAGACCTCCAAAATGGTTTAAAGTATTGTTCTCCTTTAAATTTTTGTGGAAATTAGCTAGAATGTGTCTAGCACATAATCTATGCTCCACATCAGGAAGTATTTCCTTCACAGCTTCAAATAATCCCTGATTCAAACAATTAAATGATTAGTTAATTAAATGATCAAAACAATTAAAGTTAATTGAAAAAAATAGAATGATTACCTTGTGGCCATCTGAGAGGATTGTAATGCCATGACCATTCCCCCATCAAATGTCTTCCATCAGGTTGTCCAAAAACCATTTCCATGTCCTTTTGTTCTCATCATTAACTACTGCCCAAGCTAAGGGATAGATGTTATTATTAGCATCTCTACCCACTGCTGATAGGAGCTCCCCTCTACAAACACCCTTAAGAAAGCAACCATCAACCCCAATTACCTTTCTGCATCCATCTAACCACCCATCCACAACACCTTTAAAGCTAACATAAAACCTATCAAACACCACAGTATTATCAGGTTGTGGCTCCAAGAACACCTCAACATGTGAACCTGGATTAGCCCTTCTGATTTCAGCTGCATAATCCCACAATCTGGCATAATGTTCTTTCAAACTTCCCTTAACTTCAGACAATCCTAACTTTTTTGCATTCCTACACTGCCCAACACTCACATTAATGTTGTATCTCTTAGATACTAGGGCTTTCATTTTCCTCAAACTCAGTTTAGGACTCTCCAAAACATCATTCACAAATTGTTTCCCTATCCACTTATATGTTACAATTGACCCAAGTTTGAATGCCCTAGAGCACTTGTGCTATGTTATAAGAGACTTAATATGAAAAGTGTGTTCCTCTTTCATCCAGGAAGCATACAATTTAAAAAGGCATGTCAGATTCTTTCCTTTACAACATCTAACTAGCAACCTAGTCTTGTCATTCTTTTCATACCACAGATCATAACCATTTGCTACAGCATAGCAACTAAGAGAGTATTTCAGTTCAGCAGTACTAGAGTATTTCATACCTAATCGAGGCTTCATCTCATTCCATTCCTGAGTATGATCATGTCTTGGGTAGATAGGTCGTATTGCATTATGATCTTCTTGAACCAAGTCATCATTCTGTATTGGACAAAGTTTGTTGAGGAAATGATCATTGGAGTTTCTTTTGAGAGATATAACTTCATCGTCCTCTACATGTTCAACTTTCAGACCATCTTCTAAAATGGAGTCAACATCATCAATAGAAACCAAATCTTCATCTTCAAGGTCTGCTTCTTCCTCCTGAATCCAATCAAACAAAGGTTCATGATAATGATCCACATACACATCCAATCTCTTCTTTTCATTGATATCTTCAAGAAACTCGTTAAAATCGCAGTCATTCTGAATAGCATGTAATCCCTCCGACAACCTCACTTCATGTGGACAGTAATACACATCTCTGCATCTTCCGTTAGTAAGCTTTTCAAGAAAGGGGATGAAATCAGGGAAGTTCATCTTGTTTACAACCGTGTATGGTACAGAGGCTTTTACTCCATTAAAATACATCAATGGGGTAGGTGTGAACACCCCATTATAGTGTACATCAACGATTGTATCTGCATCTTCTGCCATTGTTGATGGTGATTGTGAGTCAAGAAGTTTGATGGATTATCGACTGAGTGAATGGAGGAATGGCTGATTAAATGAGCCCTAATTGTCGTTTCAATGTGGTGTAATTTAACAATATCCACGTAAAGTGACATGTGGATGCCACTTGGTTATTTCATTTCAAGAAAATAAAATAAAAATTATATATGACCGGTAAACCGGCTATAGCCGGTCAAAAGGATTGCATAATTACAAAAAATCGGGTATAAGGGTTTAATTTACAAAAAAAAGAATAAGGACTAAATGTGTACATTTCAAAAAGTAAGGTGCTGTTTGTTTTTTCGAAGCGAAAATTAATGAAGTCTGCGGACCACCTCTGCAATCCTCTGTAGCAGAAGAGGTGGAACAAACGGCTGCAGCCTATAATAAGAAGCATGTTTGTTTTTTAACATCTGCAGACTGCTGCAGTAAACTGAAATTTAAATAAACTAATTTTATAAACTGAAAATAGTTCTCAACACCGAAATTTAATAATTCTAGTCTTAAAACATTGAAATAATAATAAAAAGAACATGTAAAAAAACAAAAATATAAAACTTTTTTTTTAAAAAAAAAAACTTAAAAAAAATGTAAAAGAAGCTAATAGTTTTATTCTAGAAAAAAAAACTAATTTTAAAAAACATTAAAAAAGAAAATAATAATTTAACTAAGAAAGTATTGCAAACGATATCTACAAAGTTCGTAAAAAATTACACACGTTAAAAAAGATGCAACTGAAATTGAAAATATTATTAATAAAACGGTAAAAAAAATTAAAAAAATCAAGTTAAAAAAAACCGTGGAAACTATAAAAATAAATTGTATCACATCCGTAAATAAAAATTTAAGAAAATCAAAGTTTAAAAAAAAAGTTAAAAAAAAAAAGTTATACAAAAATTCTTAAAAAAACACTTGGAAAAAATGAAAGCTGAAGAGGTTAGAAGAGACAAGTCAAGTGCTGCGCCACGCAGCACACGCGCAGTGGTTTTGTAGTCTGAAGTCTTCCAAAAAACAAACTGCTGCGAGAGGGAAAGTGCTGCGCGTATGCTGCGCCGCGCAGCAATAAGTGGTTTAAAGAGGTTTTTATAAAAAAACAAACATCACCTAACTTACCCTATCAAGTGATTATCCCATTTTTAAATTAACCTTTGTAAAATCTTTTTGCGAAGATATATAAACCTTTCATTTTAGCAAAAAGAAAAAAAGTGTGTTTGGGTCAATCGGGTCAACCCTATCCATAAACCCATGATCCAATTTGATTCAAATCATGACATCAAACCATGGCCAATCTTTTAACATCTGTTGTTCATTTTATCAAATCCAAACACACACACACACATCAAAGTCAAACCATCCAAGGGCCAGCAAGCAACAAATTTAAAATATAAATTTTGTATTTACCAATAAAGTCAAACCCTATCACCAATATCTTAAGCAAAATGTAATTATCGTTGGGGTTTTTGTTTAATTAATATATTCTACTCCGAATTGAATAATGCAATTATGCAAGGCAAACCCCAATGCCTCCTTCCTTAATTGCTGGTTTAATCCGAATCTATTTATTAATCAACATCACCTAAAAATATAGATCTAATCTCTCTCTGTCTAAAGACTCACCGGAGATGAAAGAGAAGTCACCGGAAAACCGATCTCCGGTGCCATTACTGTACCGGAGACATTCGAGTGGAGATATCATGAACAATCTGGCATCAGTCTCAAGCAGTCTGTTGCCAGCTTTTGGAACTGTTGTTGGCGGCGATTCGCCTCCCCTTAGAGACTATGTCATTGCACCTTATGATCGACGCTACAGGTAAGTTAAGTGTTTATATGTTTGAATGTTGTACACCGTGCATCAAAATGTGTACGATTGCATGTTCTTTCGCCATTGAAGAAACTTCCAAGATTATTTTCATCAAATCTTCAAATGTTTTGTAACTTTTTTTCTTCTTTTTTTTTAATAGTTTAAGCCTTTGGAATTCAGTTATAACAAAAATCTTATACATCGGATATGGTATTTTTGATTTTTTTTTAAAAATAATAATAATAATATTTTTTTTTTCCTTTAAAGTAAATTGATTAGAATTACGTTTTATGATAGATCAAACGAGTAAAAAATAAAAAGATTGATTTATCTTTTTGTCCGCATATAAGAATTTATTTTTTTAAATATTGTAATGTACAACCCTATATATAAAACATGAATTATTGTGTATAGAGAATTTTTTTTTGTACAACCAATTTCCAAAATAAAACAAATTAAGTGGATTTAAGGAGCCAAAAGTTTGAGATTCGGCATTTAATTAATTTTATTTATTTGTAATTGTCTAAAATATTTAATATCAGCATCTCGCACGAAAATTACAAGGCTTAACCTTGAAGAAAACAAGAAAGTTTGAGATTTGGCATAGATTTGTTGTCTGCATAAAGTACATACATTTGAAGAAAACAAGAAACTGTGAAATTTAGCATATATGGTTTAATTGATTTTCGTTAAGGGATGTTATTTTGGATATTAACTTTCGGGTGCAAGTTTATTTTTGGATATTAAATTTGTGTAAATACTAAATAATATTATTTTTATATGTAATAATTCTATATTTCTCTGTCATGCTATTTAATTTAGTATAACAAAACAACAATTGAATAGCTAAAAGTCAAATATCAGATCAATTAATTGAATATAATATTGGTATTTTTTTAATAAAATCAATAAAAAAATTAAAAATTCACGCCGCTTGATTGATAGTATTAAACCAAAAACGCAATTAAAGGGATCAAGTATTATCTGACCAGTGACCACCCCCCTCATCATGGCTTTCAATGATCTATGGAAGTCGATTGAAAATATTTTATTTTGGTTTCTTTAAAGTTATATTATTACAAAAATATTGTAATTTGTTGAAGGAAACAGGGAATAATGTTTTATGGACTGAGTATATATTTTAGACAACTTTTAACACGCTTGTCCGATGTGTTTCTTTTTAGGTGTTTTTTATTTTACTGATTGTTTTGTATGCATAAGGTAACTTATTTTTTTTTATTTCATTGGAATGTAGTGTTTGATGAGACTATTAATAGAGCTTATAAGTCAACTTTTCAAAAAACTATTTGAGATAGCTTATTGATCATAAAGAATAGGTCATTGATTACTTTGATGTAAATGTATGTAGGTGGTGGCAAGCATTTCTAGTGGTACTTGTTATATATTCCGCATGGTCATCCCCGTTTGAGCTGGCTTTCAAGAAGGTGGCCACAGGATCTCTCCTATACGTCGATTTAGTAGTCGACTTCTTTTTTGTCGTTGACATCTTCTTAACTTTCTTTGTGGCCTATTTGGATAAGTCAACATATCTACTTGTCGATGATCATCAAAAGATAGCCACAAGGTATCCTAGACAAACCATTCTAAATGTATCCAAAACATGCATTATTGTACAATTGGTTCCAATATGGTATACTTACAGTCAAACGTTCCGGTCTCAACAGTATCAATTTTAATTTTAATATGGATTGGGCTCCTTGTGAGCATTGTGCTCCTATGTCAACCACCTAACGGGCATCTGTTTACCTGATTTACCTCTCACATGATGCTTCTAATACACAGGCAGTGTGGGCTAACTCATGACAGAATAACTTATTTTGCAAATCAAAAAATGCATTATTTTCCATTATACCATCTACTTTGTGTGTTTTTTCAGGTATGTCACTCATATGATGTTCCCAATGGATGTGGCATCAACACTCCCATTTCAAGCAATATACAGACTCTTCACCGGAAAACTACATCGTGGGGAAGTCTTTGGCTTTCTTAATCTTCTTAGGCTCTGGCGGCTAAGGCGTGTTAGTGAGCTCTTCTCAAGGTACAAACCACCAAAATTGTTGAATACGCATTTTATATATTTTGCCAAATAGTCTAAAATTCAAAATACAATACATTTGGGACAAGGGTTCGAGCCTCAGCAACCACAATACTAGAGTTTCAATTCCAACATGAATTGAGCTCCTTGTGGTCCCGCAAATCTTATGTCATTAACCTAGCTAACAGTGCGAGCCAGCTCAGGGGTTGGTTGCCAGAAGAATGATCCTTTTAGCATAATTACAAAAATCCACTATAACAAGCTATTTTGTTGTCTAAACAGACTAGAGAAGGATACGCGCTTCAGCTACTTCGGTACAAGAACTCTTAAACTAATATGTGTTAGTACTACTTCTACTAAACCTATTTATTCAACCACGTTGCTACTAAACTAAACCTAATACAAATGCTTCTGTATATTTGGATTATGACAGGTTACGCTTTTTGCGGTGCACTCAGCTGCATGCTTTTACTACTGGATAGCGACTCATCATGAACAGTCGGATGATACATGGATCGGATCTATTATTCACAACTTTGAAGACAGAAGCATTTGGTTAGGATACACGTATTCAATGTATTGGTCAATTGTGACCCTTACAACTGTTGGCTATGGTGACTTACATGCAGTAAATACAGGAGAGAAAGTATTCAATATCTTCTATATGTTATTCAACATCGGGCTCACCTCTTATCTAATTGGAAACATGACCAATTTAATCGTCCATAGTGCTGTCCGAACTTTTGCCATGGTAATAAGTTATTCTTCTTCTTTTTTTTTTAATAATGATTATGTCACTTAATTATGTGTTTTGTGCTGCTATTTACTTTTGAGTACTTTATTCTACAGAGGGATGCAATTAATGAGATTTTAAGATATGCGAGCAAGAATAGGCTTCCGGAAGGATTGAAAGAGCAAATGTTGGCACATATGCAACTTAAGTTTAAAACAGCTGAGCTACAACAAGAAGAAGTTCTAGATGATTTGCCAAAGGCGATTAGATCTAGTATTTCTCAACATCTGTTTCGTAAAACTGTTGAAAAGACTTATCTTTTTAAAGGCATTTCAGATGACCTTAGCAGACAATTGGTATGGATTATTCTTCTTTTCATATATTAGTAGCAATTT